ATATGAATTATCAATATTTTAATGAAATGATAATGATAGCACTGATATGCGAAGATAACATTCAAAAAAGTGGCTCGAATCAATCGGCTAAGCGTTGAATGCTTCAAAGTGATAATTCACTTACTGATGGTAAACTGGTGAGAAGACTGATAAACCATGCAACGACAACCATTCGTTGCACTGATCGCTTGGCATTCAGTGTGTAGAGTGGTGAAAATATGGAATAAAACCGATCCAAACTGATGCAAATCAAAATATTGGCTGATAACGCATTACCAAAATTGTCAAAGAATTTACACGAACGACACAGCTGAACAAACGTTTATCAGTGGGCTAGAAAATATTAATTGCCGCCTAAATTTCTGCACAAATGATTTGAAAGACCCGAACAGTAATAGATAATAGTGGAAAAATAGTTCCAAATTATCACAATGATTCGAAAAAAAATTATTTTTCTGGATAGCATAACGCTATTGATAAACGAAATGAAATAATTTGATTGATGAATTGAAAATCATAAATTTTCATTCAATTACTAAAGGATATTCTAGCCTAATAAATCGCCGCCACTAAGAAAATGACAATACACAAGAACAATGAAAATAAACAAAAATTTACCAAATCGCCACCCCACCATGCCACTGTTATATTATGGATTATCTCTTTGGGCATATAAATAAGAGTTACGACAAGATGTGCAACATTCATATGTAGAAGGAGTGTATGTACACGTCGTACTTTTACCACTTGATTTCTCAAATTTGTCTTATGTTACTATTGTAATGCAACATGAGAACATAAGGAATATTCATTCGATATTATTGCAACTAAATAATGCTTGAGAGCATTGATAAAGATGCCCTTCGTATACGTGTTGATGCAAACATGTATGAAATTTATAAAGCGATTGATAAATGAAGCCAATGAATATATCTTTTTTACTGCAACGAAGAAAGGCTACAACTTGAAAAAAACAACGAGATGAAAATTGGAACTAACCTAACCAGAATGATGAACATAGTGAAATTGCCAACAAATGCAATGCAAAAGCAAATACAATAGCAAATGGAGGTCAGATAAGCCGAAGAGCTCATCACAGCCCTTGGATATGATCGCGGATCCGAGCAATTCAGATGCATACTTCTCAGTCTAAAGTAGCCCAATGCGGATATACACCAAAACAACAACAACATCAAAATTGCAATTGTCATAGGAGGATTAATCACGCAATACATTATGATTGAATCCATGATCCAACTCAAAACATCTCCGCTTCAATGATTTATCGGCATCAGCAAAATTTATGTCAACAATCAAAAATCTTCTCAACCATTCAAATACTTTTAACATTCACAGTAAGCATTCAAACTTTTATGTCTTTCTTGGAAGGACTATGAAATATCGACCGACTAAAATGTTCAGTTCTTCCAATGCCTAATAAGTTCATAACGTTCATAAATAAGTTATTTCATTTTCTGAAATCAGTCGTTGATTCAAACTTTATTCTCGGCCAATGATACATTATGTGGATTAAATTTCCGAAGTCAGATTTCTCAACAAAAAAAGAACTTCATCTAAGTGAGCATAAGAAAAAACGACACGGTACGCATAAAACTTCTCGGAAAATCGCCAAAGAATCAACTCCAATAACTTGCAGTGTAAACCAGACAAACGATCTTATCCGATCAGTCGTTCAGATTGCCATTTAACAATCAATTAAATATTGATCGATGAATTTTAATATTCAATCCATTCACACTTTAAATAGCCGTTAATTCGTCACACGCAAAAAAATTATTCTGCACACCTCATCATACGTAATGCACTTTCGATTTAAGATACAGAGCTGAATTTACTAATCAAGGCAGTTTTGCCTCGGTGAAGCATCTTCTTCCACTCTTTGGAATTATTAACGACCCGATTGACTGCCAGAATGGGAATCATTTTCAAGATATTGCACACTGAAATTCATTCAAAAAACACCCAAGAACGATTGAACTAAGTGTCCCGTAACTAGGAAAAGGCAGAAGGCAAAATCAACCAAATAATTATTTATTTGACTGTTAATTAATTACAGTTCCCAACTAAGTAGTATGCAACAATTAGAAAGTGGTCTGTAGATAATTCAACAATATTTTTAGATCACCTTACCTTGTCGAGCACAAATCAACTAAGCATTTAATCAAGCAACGACTGAAGCTTTTTAAAAATAACTCGTTCAACCCACCAAATCATTGCATATTAGTAAAAAAGATGTCCGTTAGAGCATTAATACGCAACACAACAACTCTTCTAAACGAACAAACAAATAAGAATTGAATCGTTACTTGCACATGTTACTGCATCAATCATTCAGGATCAACATCAAATGAATATGCTTTTAATTGTTTGCTGCTTCATCATCACAGCTAGTATCTTATATCATACTTCAAGGAAGTGCATTAATTTGTGTTTGACTGAATTGCAATGGATCCATTTGTTTTCGGCGAAATGTCATGAGTGACGCAATAAATCAGCTTGAACAATGCCATCGAAAAGGATATGGCCTCGAGTCAACTTCATTCGAGTAACAAACGCATGAAAACGAAGAATGAGTTGATTAATAGGAATACACAACTATTCACATACACGCATATGTGTGAATCAACGACATAAAGCCGCTCACAATAATGCAAAAATGGAAGTATGAAATGGTTGCTGATGCTGATGCGATGATGCTTTACGACTGAAGTTTCATGAGCGATCGAAAATGTTAACAGTTCTGTGAGACGTCCGATTTCGATTTTGATAAGATGATCGTGCGGACGACTCTTGCAAATATTCATAAAGAAAAGAACCTCTCTCTGGATTCCGATAAACATACAATCGAATGAGAATTGAGGATTATGTTCTCACGAGTAAATGATCACAGATTCTAGGAAGAAGTGTGAAATGTCATTTATCCAAGGCATTATGCAATATAAGAAATTAATTGAAGACCTCTTAATTATGTGGCATCTGCTGAATTCTAAAAATCGGTTCGATGTTATAGTTTCTGATGCATATTTCAATTCACGAAGTTGAGGATGCGCATTATGTCAGCATTGTTTTGTATTACTGACTGATTAACAATAGCTATAGTATATCATTTTAATAATTCTAAAAAATTAATCATTTATTGTTTTGAATTTCAAGTGAGCCGTCGGTGTTTTAAAAATAAAACTCTAATAATTACAGAGATAGATAAGAACTATAGACCACATTCAGTTGCATTGAATCATAACTTCGGTTCCAGTTACTTTGAAGCATTATTACGGATGATTGATTAGTGTGATTAGTTATGCATTATGAAATAAATGTAAAAAACCATATGTGAAAAGAAGAGTTTCATTGTATCGATTCACTTCGATGAATAAGCCAAACTTTCAATAGCTGGAAGTCAGTTTGGGTAAAAAAGATACAAATCCAGATCTCCTCTAATTATTAGCTTCCCACTCTTGCAACTAAGATGTTTCAGTGTTGACGAGTATTATCACCAGCTGACAGTGAATCTGTCCTTTATTTTGCCCGATGATTCGTGGTTGATGATAAGATATGTTATCGAGCAATTGAAAGCGATTCATGAATGCGGTCAGTTGGTTGAGCAATTTCTTTTCTGTAATAAGCCAAAAAATTTAATTAAAAACGAAGTTACAAGGGATTTAGCAATCTGGAGAGGTTGCCATCAGAGCGATCAGTTAGCAGCACGATAGCACACAAATTTTCAGCTGATAATAATGAATGCATAACTGTGATTACCTCATAAGTTCTTTAGTTTTTAGTAGCAAAACGAATTATTCAATGAGTACGTATGTTCGACTCGATTTGCTATCGCGAATCTTTCTGTACGTTAATAAAACGAATGCTATCATTAATGTGTTCTCTCCAAAAAAAACACTATTTCTACTGATGAAAACAACAAGTGCCTCTCGCTGAATAACATCCTTTTCGTAAAGAAATCACATTTTCGAAAATTATTTGTGTCCTCTGTTGGAAGGTATTTGCAACAAAATACCTCAATGAATTATGCATGAGACACGCGTTTCAAACAATCAATATTTCAATTAATTCGATTCAGAAACATAGTAATCAAATTCTTCAATCGAATAAAATGAGCAGAATAATCAATTGAAAATATATTCTGATCACAGCGATGGGAAGAAACATCATTGAATTCGAGGAGTCCTTTGAAGTACTCACTCCAATGAATGCCTTCATATCGCAACTGGTGAATAATTTCGTAAACTGATCGTCCTTACAAACGATGTTCACAAACCAGTGAGAAAAAAATTTGAGAATATATACTCCACAAGATTCTGATATGAGTTCATTAGGATGTCAGAAAATATTCACTGATGTCTTTGCTGCTCAAAACGATCTTTTGAAAACACTTTTTCGAATTATTTATATGTTACTAAACCAATGTCGATCATCAGTTCTTAATTGGAACAAATTATTGAACTTTTTTCGAGAAATTGAAAATTATACTTGTTATCAGTAAGACTGAAGAGTTAGTTGTAAACGAATAAACTTGCTGAAGTTTGAGTGAAATTGTTGATGAAGGATTAGATGCAATCAATGAAGGATTAGTCATAAGGAAATTAAGTTGCTTGGTGAGCGTCTTTCACTTACAGCTAATTTTATCCATAACACCTCTCCTTACCAGTAGTGCATCATTGATTTGCTTTCTTAAGAATTCGTTTTCGAATGAGAATGACATTTTGACACATATAAACATTTGAATATGTAACTACAAACTGTCTTGCGTTGATGTTTATTATTTGCCAAGCCGTACAGATAAACATAGGATTCATTAGGCAACATTCATTTGAGATTAATTGTGTTGATATGGAGTAAATACCTCGAAAAACTTGCTAAATTTTCATGCCCATGTGAATTTGATCATTCGCGTGATGCATTTGTCCAAATTTCATTGAATGACGAATAGTTAATTGCAAGATGTTGCTTTGATAATATGACTAAAGGATTATCTTAAAGCGATTATTAGTTGACATAATATATTCAGCACGATTTGTTATGCATAGCGTTAATTGTTTCAAAACTAACAGATGTAACTAAAACAACAACAATATATATTCTCAAAAACAACCATTCAGCACAACAAGCATTGTTCAGTGATTGTTCTGATGCAACTTTTCACTCAATGAACAACATTCGGACTGCTAATGCCAAAATGAGAAAACACACTGAACCTACGATCCATCAAATAATCTAAGCCTAATAAGCTTCAGTTCAATAAACGAAATTCAGTTTATTTGATTTGTTTTTCGTCTGACATTTTTAGTGACATTTCTGGTATTCTTCTGGCAAATGATAAACAACCAATTAAATCAACTTATTCATAAAAGTCTCACCTAGAAAGCTGACTAAAAGATACCGAAACAATGTTCTTATCAAACAAGCACTGTCCTTCTCACTGAACTGACAAAAATAAAATGATTTAAGTGTATCAGGTCCCCAATGATCGTAGAGTCATAGAAGATGCTAATCAAACTAGAAAATCGTTCGACAATTTTGACAATGATATGAGACGATTTGAGGATAATCTCGTCATCGCAAGTCTCGAGAGAATCAACAGTCACCTCAATTATTTCTATAGCTACCTTCGTTGCATCTTCAAATGTAAGCCTAAGAATATTTAGTGAATTTGGTGATGCTAATCTGGCAGTTTGCCCCTAGTAAAAAGAAACAATGGATGTTGATGAATGTAGACCTTTAAAAAATGCTAACCTCCTTTTTCATCTACTGAAATCGTTGTCCTCAACAATTGATTCAATTTGCATACTTCTTGAAACTTTATTTGAAGTTCAAAATTTCGAATAATTTTTGAATCATATCCCATTCAAAATTTTCAATTTGTTTTAAATTAGTTGCTGTCTGTATTCCCAAAAAGCAGAAGTCTGCTACCATACAAGTCATAATCAGCGAATGTCAACCATAATAAAATTGAATGAAATATTCGCGAAAACGTCTTTAAATATCATTTCTGAGTGGTCACTTGCATTTTGACAGAAAGCAATAATGTGCTACTTATAGACAGCATCACTCCCTGTGAAATGCCACCCCGACGCAATTTCATACGAATCTAATTTATTCATTTTTTAATCAATAATATCGTTGATGATCCTTTAAGAGTGTTTCACGACGACATCATCGGATGTATATCCAAAAACGATAGATATGATCAATACGCGTAATAACGTTTCAGAAAATCATTTTTCAGTCAGCAGAAATATGAGCGAGGAATGCAATTGCAATCTGTTGCTCGAAATGCGTTCACTTCTGAAAAGATGCTTATCATGGAATCGAATCAAATCATTTGTTTTTTATAACGTCATAAGTTGGTCATTTAAAATGCCTCTTCTTCGCCAATCAATTCCTCATTGCAATCGCAAAATCCGATAGATCTACTTTTGAGACGATCAGTTAATGAGACTTTTATAAGCTATGAATTCTTAGTGACTTCTGTAGGTGAACTTGACTCAAAGTTAGTAATGCTGGATGTAGATGTGATATCGATCAGAGTCCCGATTATGCGAAGGAGTGTCATTCCAGAGAAGCAAATGCATACAAAGTAGAGCATCACAATCCTGACAGATTTTATGATAGGCGTTTTTTTGAATTCTTTTAGCACGAGTAATCTGTAGACGAGTAATCGGTAATATTCAGTTCGTGCAAAACATGTCCGGAAGAAGGAACTAACTCGCTGGTAGAGATTGTTTATAGGTGTGCATGAAAAACGCTAATTGAGATATAAATTCATATGAACTGTTGTTCATATGAGCAGTAACCATGAGACCAGACGCATTGGATGTTCGAGGTGACAAAAATTGTGGATGTAACCAAAGAAACTAGTGAAGAGTGTCAAATAAATGCTAATCCTTATAAACTAATATGTTATAAGCGGTCGAATAAATGAGTTTGAGAAGGCGTATGAACGAGATTTAGTTTGTTAACATTTTTGAAACGTAATTTTAAATTCGCTATGTTATTCATGGCATCTTCTGAAAAGCCATCCACGCATAAACAACATTTATTCAACTCAGTTCATTTGCATTTCTTCAGCACTATTGTTATGCATATTATGCTCCACCTTAAGCCCAACAGCTATTTTATTAGATCCTTTGAGTGCAATTTGATGACATAGATGCATTTACTGAGATATGCATTCAGCGTATTCCCTCTTCATCACTATCGAAGCACATTATTTGGGGATTAATAGAATTTATCATGTTACGCTCCAAAGGATTCATGGTACCGTTGAGACTCTTTTAATGAGCGAGTTTCTGTGAAATTGCTAACATTCACAATGAATGTTTTCAATAGCAACCACTGATTGCTTATTCCACAGCCATAAATCAAATTATATTCATATGATTCTATTATCGCTCAAAAAATGTTCATTATGGCAGTTTTGAACGAGCGACTCGCGTTCAGAACTTTACATTTCAGTAACGCATAATCAGTCAAATCAAATCTTGAATGTTGAAATTGAATAATCGTTCCAATAGATAACAATATATGTTTTAAAAAATTTGTTTAATTTGCGCCTTGTTGAATTGAATAGTTGGTTGATTTGAAAAATAGCAAACAAATATTTCTCTTATTGTTCTGAGCATCTTGAAATGCTCTTGACTGCTATTGTTACAACAAGGGATGATTCAAACTGCAGAAAACTGAAGAGTCAGATCTTAAACATATGAACAAAGATCTGAAAAAAAGGTGCTGTGTACAGAGCAATGATTGACGCGTTTTTCAGTTCGAATGGATCTCTTTCCGTGTCGTTTAAAAGTCAAATTATGATGAGCGTTTGCTTCCATGTGTTTTAGCTAATTTTAACTTCAAAAACATCTTGTAACGTCCAAAATTTCTGGATCACCCTTTATCTCTGGATCCAACTTTATTGTGCTACCAAGGAATGAGCAAAAATTTTTGCTCATTCTTTGTTAGCACAATAAATTTGGCCATATTTTCAAGCACATACTTTTCAAGTGAAACTATCTGAAAAATCACTTGCCCAGCAATTTTTATCATGTCACTTCAGAATTCATTCAAAATCTAATATAAGAAGAATGAAATTCTACGATAATCATAAAGTCTTTTCAATGCGTGGAACGGTATGTACTTATTTACTGACAACATTTTTGAAGCTAACCACACACATGAGTGAGATGAGCATATGCTACGGAATATTTTGCGGGCTCAATGCGATAAGAATTTATCGTTATACCACTTAGCAATACTTCACTTGAAGTCAGATACTCATTATGTGCTAGTTATAAATCCTCGGGAGGATACGAGAAAATATCTTTGTAAATCCAATGCTACTATGGAGAAAAACCAAAATGATTCTCTCTTTAGTAAACTTAATCAGATGATCCATTCGTCGCAAAACGTTCCAACCAAAAAAGGCAATGATATTCAGCTGATTGAGAGTTTATGCTAAAGCATGGTCATTCACTTTGCTGAAATGAAAGTCATTTGCATGAGAAGTTTTTATAGGATTTTATGAGGCAGAGCAAAGCGCATGAGTGAGCATGGTCAAGCCTACAAGTTAATCAACTGAAATGAACTGAACAATAGCATTCCGCAATATTAACAAGAACTTAAGATACTTCTAACGAATTTCATTAGACATTGAGTACTGAGAAAGTAGATCAAAATTGTCCCAAATCAAATAAATGCTTTCGATGTCAACCAGTGCTAATGATGCTTCAATGGAAACGGGAAAAAATGCTGTTGCGCAGTACCATCTAGAGATTGAATGTACGCAAAGAATTTTTAAAAGAAACTGCAGATGGATTATATTCATATTACAATATATGAAATTTTCAGCAAAACTATTTTATTTACAGTGTTCGAAATGATTTGTTTCTTTGTTATAGGGTTTAGCATTTCATTATTTTTCATATAAAATGGAGCAAAGACATCACAATTAATGGTCATGCAATGATTCGATGTCTTTTGCGGTATTACTGAATATCATGGAATTATATCATTTTGAGGTGATTATGCTTGGAGGTAATTATTAGTGATTGACTTGATTAGAAATATTAATAGGATGCATTCGAAGTCGTTCGTCTCTGATTTCGTTATGCAGTATCGTCCTGAAAAAATAATCACTTATCATTGAAGATGAAACTAACCGATGATGATTTGTCAGAAGTGCGCATTGTCAACCTAAATGTTGACGTGACAACTGATCGTTCGTTATCGTTCAAAAAGTTCATTTTACAATGTTAGACAATGTCGACAATAATCACTAGCGATATTCATTAATTTCGAATTCATATTGGCTAAATGAAGAGAAACTACTTCTAATAACATTTTTCGAAAGTTATTGACCGGTAAGAGTTTTCAAAAGCACATCATCAACTCGATGTAATTTGTCTAATGACTCGTGTAATTCAAATAACATCATTTCGATTTTTTCGGAAATTTTCCAACAAATAAACGCACCCCAAGAAAACTATTGCCGATACTACTTTCATGAGCTTTTACAAATCTAAAACAATTGTTCATTCATGAACGGTACTAGTTAACGATTAACGAAACTATGCCCATTTCCGTAATTTACATATCAATCAGGAGTGACTCATACAACATTTTCTGTGAGATAAGTTTAATGAGCTTGCGAAAACAAGAATGTTACCCAATAACATTTGCACTCCTCAAAAATGCAACTACATGTTTTTGTCAGCGATCATTAAAAAACTTCTCATCAGTTTTCAATTTTTTGATAGATAAAATGATTCTGCACCTATATGAGCCGACTGGCCTTGAGAAATCTTGATGGTCTTCACGTGAAACTAACGGTACCAGAGCGCTCATTTTCCGTCGTCGATCCACAATGTCCAATCCTCCGTCAGGTGTTACCAAAGGTGATACTTCAGATTTCATTCCTGAATATAACTTGCCTCTCGAACAGTTCAAAATTTTGAAAACTTAAAAATACCACAATCGAAAGCAGAGTATTTCATCATCTTTATCATCATCACAATCACATAAAGACTTGTTGGGCGGTTATTATTATGATTTATATGGTATGCTGAACTCTAACTTGGCATATTTTCTTTTAGAAGACCACCAATGATTAGTCGATCTGAAATCTCAAGAATATTCGTCAGCATGATAATTTTGTGCTCTCTCCTCATTTCAATTTTTTGATTTACCAGCTGCAGTCCAACCCATAATTATTGTAAACAATTTCAAGCAAGCTTTCAAAACGAACATCTTTTTTTGAAAAAATTGACTGTTTTATTTGAGTAATCGATCAAACAAATGCTATTTCTGCAGCAACTGCAAAATACGTATGTTTGAAGTGATTGAATTTCTGTTGACTGTCTAACATATTCAACGTTAATCACTAGTGGGATGGCTTTCTAACGACACTTCAAAAATCAGTATCCACACGAGTGTTGTCATAATCAGAGGAACATGGAATGCAAATACCTTCTTCTACTAAAAAGTTGTCCCACATATTATCAACCACTTCTGTGCATATCAGCATTCCCGCATGTGCGGAGAGCATCTTCAGAACGAATACACCATCCAATTTTACGTGCTTACGAACAAACTAAAAAATATTCATATTTTATTTGAATGTGTCACTAGTTTGGAACACTTGCTGCACATTTACATGTATTTCCCAATTTTGAGAAAGAAATATCATAAGTTATAATTTAGGTAGTTCAGTACTCTGCAATCATTTCCACCCATTTCACTCTACTGATGCAAACATCATTTATCTAATAAACCATAGCTTAAAGCGTTTCTAAGAAAGCCATTTAAAAATTTGATGGTGACCTTATCCAGTTCACAGCTGAAATTCTTCTGTTCGAATTCGATGTCAGCCAATTCAAGTCGTCTGGCAATGAATCTAAACAATAACTATTTAGAGTATCACACCGAAATGCAGTTGAATGACTGTCAACAATTTGCTCCACAAAAGAGCAATATGGCATTGCGTATTTCGAGTGAGTATCAGTACTCTTAAGCTTCACCAATAAGACTAACGCTTTTAATAGAATCTGACATTAGCAATCAGGAACGTATCACGTTTCCAAGCCAAAATCCCTTATACAACAATGGCTCCACTTCACATTCAACACAGTGTATATTGTGCATTAATTATCAATCTTTTTGCTCTTGTTCCACCTTCAACATTATGAATAAACTTTTCTAACGAAAACTATGTGGAATTGTAGTTGCGCCTTATGAGCCGTCCTTTTTCTTCGCTCACTATGATATTGGGGCAAAAAATGTGCAGTAGATTTAGCACCGTCCGTCCATAATGATGACGTGTAAACACTAAACTTTATGAATTCTCAAAATACCATTTCAACGAATGATTCAGATCAAAACATAAGGAAGAATATATGGAAATGCAACATCTTTGTTACATACTCATATGAAATGCATGCTAATAGCCAAAACAAAGGTATTGTCTGAAAGCCAAGAAACCGTATCGTAATAAATATCCACAAATATGATCGTTTAGGCGCATGGGAATGGACAAAGATACGAAGACTATATAAGAAGGTGGTTCGAAGAGCAAAGAGGTCGGAGTCAATATCATTATAATCAGTTTAACAATCAAGCCTTCAGTCGGCCAGGATTGACCTTGTGATTCTATATCAACATTGTCTTCAAATATTTATACTGTATTTATAACTAACTCAATTACATTTATGATCAATTCTTAATAAATCATACTTAATACCTCGTTTTCTACACCACAACAACAAAAGATTTACTCTACAGTCGTATGAGTGTCGCTAATGAGCCTTTACAGTTGTATGAGGTCATGATCGAGAACGGTAATTGAGCCTTTTCTATCAATGCGAAAAGTTCAGCTTTCCATTTCAACTGTTTAATTCAATAAAATGTATAAATGTGTTAACTCAGCGAATTACTGACTTATGATGCCCTGCGAACTTCTATCAAATATATTATGCTGAAATTAGAAAATATGGAAGTTTTTAAAAAACTAACTTTTTGCGTTGCTCAAAAGACATTGCAAATATCAGCCATGAAAAACAACTTATTGATGAGATGAGAGCCAATAAACTATACCACATCCAGAGCAGAATGAACACCTGATGATATTCTCAAAATGTTACATGTACAGTAAATTCTTGTTGAATCTTATTTTTATCCACCAATTACTGGTGTTTGCTCTTGATGAAAGAACACTGTTGTTGGCCTTGCAGAATTCATATCGTTGCTTTTAGAATGGCAAAATGCTTACCTTTTCTATAAATATATTTATGACAAGAACACATTGCACAGTGTGCCGTTGAACGTTGCCGAGTATTCGAATGTTCATATCACAAAGTGTCACACGTGGAAAATTGCCTGATTCAGTCCATGCTGTGAATATTAAATGAACTAATTCCTTATCATATATGTAATGGTTTCCTGCTTATCGGATTTTCGTGAAACTGATATTTTCTGTAGAACTTGAAGCTTTCTTACATATGTTTCCTTTTTATCGTACAGTAACAAACGAAGTTTTATAATTTTAAAGCGTTACGTCGACCATTGATTAAGTCCTTTATTACTTCGAATCCATAGCAGCTGTAATCATCAGTCTGTAGAAAACGGTTCATAAGGAACATCTGCAACTGATTCATTCGCTATGAAATTTCGACTGAACTGATATAGATACCTCAAGGAAGAGATGAGCAGAACATTCCGTGCTATCTGTTTCAACATACTGCTATCACGCTTTGAATATCGAAGGATGTCTCTGAGAGAGAAAGCCAATATCAGAAAACATTTGTCTTAAAACGTGGCATGGAATTCTCACCAAGCAAAGAGATAATCCATTTCTGGGAAATGGTAATGATCTTTAAAAAAGGTTTTGGAACAAACCTGTCCGAATAGGTTGATCATGTAAAGAATTTTGATGAGGATATAGAGAAGTGTGAGATACGCTTCGAAATGTCTCATATTCAAAAGCTTCAGACAAGAATGATAGCTGCGATTATGAGTACCGAAACGGAATCTGTACTTGAAAATTGATGACAAATGGGCTGACAGTCCTTGAACATTTGCACGACGAGATGCTAAAAATCAAAAATTCAGTTTCATTATTTCATCACACCATCGTTTTCCAATCGCGATGAATGAGACTTATTTGATTAAAAATAAACTATATCAAATTCGTATTCTAAAAAATTTTGCATATATTCAACGGTTTGTTTCTATAAGGTACATAGTATTTACAAAAAACTAACCCGGTTGTATGTTAGATTTATCTGTAGCAAACTGCATTATATCCTTCAATCGAATTCCTACAAACTCGTATATGTTTGAACAATAACGCTGAACTCCAATATCACAAGAGGACAGCAACGAATGAATTTCAAGTTTGTAATAAAATGAAGTGTAATAACATGAAAGCGCACATCGTATTCTGGACGTTCTTTCATCAAAAATATTTTTATGTTATTGGTTTATCTGCATATTTCATACAAGTTCGTCTGAATCATCAGTCATAAAATTCACCTGATTTTGCATACATCAATCTCCAGATTAAACAAGGTGAATAGAAAAAGAATGCACATATCACAAGGAAGAAGGGTGTCCATTGATAATAAGATACCATTCGCTGTTTTCGAATGTTAAAATCTTCGGGAAGATCCTCTTCGAATGATACCCAATATGTATTCCGTGCCCAACAAAACATTTCTATAAAAATTCTAAAAACTACGATGGTTTTGTCAAAATTTGCTACAGTGATGGAAAGCGACTATCATAAACGATTATTTTATTAAAGATATCATTTGAAATTACCGATGTTGTTGAACTCTTCAAACCTTTTTTATCACTTCGAGAGTGATAAAAATATCTTAGCTGCTAAAATTTTTTTTCTTAAATAAGTATTAAAAAACGCATAGGTGATAAAAGGCGATAAAAATAGGTGATTAAAATAACGAACTGTTCACATCGTTCACCAGTTTTTGGTAAAGATATGAAATGTTCGATAGCTTTTGAGATTTTCAAATTCAGTTAGACTATTTTTATACTACATTTTCAACCGTTTAAGAATTTGGAAAATTTTTACACCAATTTTTTAAATGCTTGAAGATTCAAAAATTTTCTTCATCTCATTTCAGGCATTATAAAAATGCAACGTTTTTTTTGCATCACTCTGATGTCGTCTAGAACATAAACGATTTGTTATTCGTTTTCAACAATTGTATTTCAACTTTATCATCGCGTAGTGTCATTTGTGAAGTTAATGCAATAATATAGCAATTTCATATGCATGAATTTATCGGTCTCAGTCTTCATAACTAACCTGTATATTCTTCCCAACCTCCTTTATATTCTGCGGGTACCCAACATTCAATGGGTCGTCCACCAAACATTTTTAAACTTATCAAAACCTGAAATATTCCGTTCTTTGGAGAATGTATCATTGCTAGGAAGAAAATTCATTGTTTTCAATAAGATTATGTGTAAACATTTGGCACTAAAATCATGACTGAACAGTCGCTTCACTGTAAGTTTGTTTGTTGAGTGAAAAGTAAACTGGTGTGTGAGCATTCTATATTGTTGCCTTTCTCAAGAAGATTTTTGTAAAAAAAATCAAGAAAGCAGATTGATAAGAGAAGAAGTGAATGACAAATATCATACAGCGGTGACAAGCAGAAATGTGCTTGTATAATAGTAATGTAAGCGATCTACAAAATCGTCGTCAGCTTGTGGCTGTAAGAATGACAATGTACCAACGATCTCTGCGAAAACCATTATCTGTGCAGTTTCGCGTCGGATCTGTAAACTTCGCAGTTCAAACACTGCTCACCATTTCTTCAGTCGAAAAACAAAAGAACTTTTATTATGCGCAGTTATTTAATTTGTATGAGGTTTCTAACTACGATAATTTATAAAGCGATGGAGGTGGACAATGGACGAAGTTGTTAGTTGGAAATGAGGCAAATTCTAAATTCTCCTTTCAAGAAGTGTGAAAATGGCAGAATGTGAACACATCTCAAAGTGATATTGCTTAAGAACTATTTTCCGCTTGAAATTCATTTTTCTTCAGCATTTATTTTGCTTTGTGAATTCTTTGTGAATTCAGAAAAACGTAAAAGCGTTTGCAATGCAACTCTCATATAAGACATTTGCATCTCGATCGCTGGATTTCGCATATGCAACAAAATTTTTAACATCATTCGTAATAAATCTAAACAGTATCGTTAATTGTAAATACTGAATAAACGAATATCATAATGACTCTAAGGTATTTTCCAAATACCCGTACAGCTATAACACTTCGAAAATTCAGTACTTCCAGAGTGATGACTGACAGTGTGTAATTATAGGGATTTCCGTTTGGGAAGTCATTTCAAGGAATCAATTCGTTTATCCTAGAGAATTGACTCTTTATTATTTGAACAATGGAACGTACTTGATCGAATGATCAATGCACAAAAGAAGTGACAAAACAAGGACCAGCAATTATTATGATTTTTGAAACGAGAATGAACGCTTGATTGACTGAGTATACGGCTTTATGTACTGTATGCATATATCCACTCATATTTGCACAGCAGATAAGTAAATAGATGAATGTTTATGCAAGCATGCATTATCCGTGATGTGTCGGCGTAATAACGCTATAAATGCAAAGTATTAACAACTTTCCATGACGATGACAATGATAAGCAAAAACGATTCTGTTTTGATGTGATTTTTGTAGCATTCTCATCAAATAACAACAATATTGGTTCCCTTCTACCTTATCAACACTCATTAGAAATGAATTTCATTCCACTAGAATTGCACGCTCTAGGCAATATTTTGGCAGTTTTAGGCTATTTATCTCAATCGTACAGTTGTAAAATCCCGATGTGCTAGAGCTACAATTACTTAATTCGAATGGTTCTTTTTTTCTGAATCCTCAATAAAGGTCGTACATCTTTTCATCATACTGTCATCTATCTTTTCCCATTAAAAGATGCTAAATATGTTGCTTCCAAAAACTATGACTGCACCACTGGAATGGATTTGAGCGTGTGTTTAACCCAGATTTAACAGCATTTATTTTAGTGAATATCAGAGAAAAACATAACACTCACTGAAAAAAATTGCACTCAATACATCAGTCATCCATGTGGCATTCTATAAAATTGCTCATTGACAATTTTCTTTTGCCACGAGCAATGAAATGTCAACGGTGAACAATGCTATGAACAACCAGTCATTTAAATGTTTATTGCAGTCATGTGAAACAAACTGAATAGCAGTAACGAACCATCTATAAGATAAACGATATTTGTCTTCCAACAAAATACAACTAATGATGTCATCAATTGCACTTGCACTGATAACAGCGATTTAAATATAATCGTAATGAAGAAAAACGACTCGAAATGACCCGATAAACTGAATAAAATAATTTCACTAATGACTTAATGAATCTTAAAACACATCTCAAATCAACTCATTCTTGTTCAAGTTCGATTAATACGCCACCACAATCTTTCGGATGCAAAAACATTACTGGTTTACCATGTGCACCAATTTTTGTTTCTTTCGCTAACGTTCTGATGCCAAGCTTCTTTACTTCAGCTACCGCCTGAAACGTTCGACTGAAATCAGATTAAGATTTCGATTGCAGCTGTCCACTGTATACGAGCTTTCATTTACGACTCAATGCAACACTGAGATTTTATCTGAATAAATTTTTCATATTATCCATAATGATCCTCACTTATTTATCACTATAAATTTATTTGACGATTAAAGATATTACAATTATTTGCAGATAAAATTAATGCAACAAATGCGCTATCTGCAGCACTCATCCATTGCAAATAAGGATAAATCAATGAGACACAATTTTTGAATTTTGAATCGTATAAATTGCAGCAAATATGTTGCTATCAGCGGATAACTGTCTATGTCAATTACATTGACGGATTCAAAAAAAAACCTCCAAAAGGGAATCAAATGTGAACCAGCCTTTTCAATTTGATTCACTTCGATGCAAATGTGATGCATACCACCCTCCTTATTCTTGTTAAGGAATGCTTGAATTGGACTTTTCTCTCCAAGTGGATGTAATAATTCTAGTTTTGCGTTTGGTAATTCCACAAAGACCGTGTATACGCCATGCTCTGGTTGAGGCTAAATTGTTAGACTTATTCATTTGATTGATCAAAAAATGGCCTTTACGATAACAGGAGATCGGTCGACAGTTCGAGATGTTTCATCTGACGAACAAATATTACATTTCGAGCGAGAAATTTTGTAAATGTTCTTCTTTTTTCTACATTCAATGATTAGCGACTGTTAATCACACACATACAGTGCTTAATCAGTCTTTTGTTATTGAAGCTCGTACACTTCCTTTTTAGTTACGCGATCTTTCTTTTCATATATCAAAGATACTCACCACTTTTTCGCTGACTTTTCCACCAAGATTTTCATAAAATTTTGCTGATTTCTCAAGATCAGGTGTTGCAATGGCAACATGATTTAAACGACCCAAAAGACCAGCAAGTGGATGTGAACTGAATTGCTGAAAGTATATTCTAATATTTGTGTACTTATTTCAATGATATGAATTGAGTTGCAACAAAACAATCGAAAAACTTCATCACTAATGCAATGAAGATCATTTGAAACTGAATCAATCTGATGCAACGCGATAATTAATCTCTGATTATTCATATAGCTTACTCTTGTCAAAACAGTTCGTTTAAGAACTGCAGCGCAGTTAGCAAGGATCTTCGAGCAGTTCATCGTATACCTACAAAAAACAATACTTTCAATTGATTTTTTCCATGCCGAATGTTCAGTGAGGGTAATCAATGACATACGAACAAATCAGCACCACTGAAAAACGAAAAGCGGTCACTCAAGCGTTACAGATCTACTCAAATTCCATTCTATACACATCCAATGAATTCACAATGCAAAGTTGAATGGCACGAAAACACGAAAAATGAAGTGTTCAATAAAGAGAATCACGCTGATAAATTATCGACTGCATTCAATGCTTATAAAAAGTAGAAAAGACTCAACAAATGCGTTTAGTAGTTCTGCTGAAAATGACTGATAACAATATTGGTATGCGTAGTGTAATAAATCAGTTTTCTTAGTGAAACATGTATGCAACAGTTGATCGTGCATACATTTATGTAGATATGATGTGATATAAGAATACGAATAAACTTCAGAAATACATAAAAGCATAAACATCGTCAGAGAATCTGAATATGTGAATTTATGATGCATCCGTAGAGAATATTCTGAATGCACGAATATCTTAACAATTTACTGAGATGATACGTAAACATGAAATGTTACCTATTCGAACAGATTTTGAATGAACACTAGCAAACCTCCGCAAGAATAAACTACCAAGATTATCTTCAGACCAGCTGAATAAGTTTCAGGTGAAAATCAGTTTCACTTGATCGGATTAACAGATGACTGAGTTGAATCAAAATTAACGAATAATTTCTTTAGCAAACATGTAGAAATCACATTCCCTTAGATGCTACCGCATTGACGTATTAATCAAGGGCATTTTATTTGAATATTCATCACACTAAATGCCGTTTTTATTGAACCATATATACAGTTCATTGATACTGAATAATGCACGCTCTGTTTTGTTAAACTATTCTACGGAAGTATGAGTGACGGTTTAAACGTAATTATGATTATGATTAGAATCGCTGTTGTACTCAAAGTGACATGAATAACATTGTGAAATTTCATAATAATAATAACGATAATGATTCCAAGAGTGATAGTAATAAAACTATTGTTCATAAGAAAACGTCAACATATTATTAAAAATCGTTCAATTTCTTTCAAAGAAATGAACATAGGTATTCAATTCATATCATACGTAAGCAAATTACAATAAAAACCAGCTGAGTTAATAACGAACGCGATTTGATTCCATTCTTGCAATGCCTTAATAATTAAGCCCATTAGTACATCAAACGTTATACAAAATAAAACTTAGCTTTGCCTCCTTCTAGACCCATTGAAATTCAACATTTTATCATCCAACTATCTAAATTATTCACCATTCACCTGTACACTTGATTATCGATAAACAGGCACTTAACACTTACACGCATACCAACATAGACAACTGAAAACAACATTTCGATCTGTTAGTTCTTTCTTTCATACAGCTGTTGCGAACGAATGGTTCTTCACTGAATCTTTCAGCACAAAACAGTCAGCGAGCGTATTGTTATCAGTTTCGAGATGTTTTATTCTGAAGAGTTTAACTGCACGTTTGATGCTGCCTGTAAAGCAATAATCATCAAACACGTACACATAAACACAGACACACATACGCAATATTGATGGCTGTCAAGATAATGAACGTATTATATAAATGTTATACAACATGCATATCTTTACAAAACGTGCGATTTTGTAAATTTTTTGAGAAAGGTTGTCGAGATGCGTTATTACTATATGACAATTATTGATCTGGTTGATTCAGTCAATCGATTCTCGATCACAAATACAGTTATTTTTAAAAAATCAACGTAGTTCAAAATTCAAATCGTAGAACTTGCCTAAACTTCCAAATGTATGCTGGTGACACAAACAGAAACGATAAAAACAATAATTGAAATATTTTTGATGATAGTAACCCTGAATATTGATAATAACTATATTTTCAGTAAATAATAAGGCAGTTGGTCTTCGTGGTTCTGCGAATTCTTTTGTGCTCTTTATTGTCGTGTTTTTGCGCACGTCTGTAGCTGTGCGATGGTATCTGCAACTCTATATTGAATTCAAAGCTGAACGAGATTGAAAATTAATATTGCGGTAGCATTTACGTGCAGAGTGGGCTTTGAGTCCTATGTTTGAATTGTTCAGTGATTTTAATTTCCTTCAAGCCTGCATGATCAGTGATGAAGTTGTGCATAAATCATTGCGATTAATAACTGTTTAATATTGATTCGCAAAAACTGACATAAAACGAATCGTCATTGCAACGTTTATTTACGGTTACATTTCATCACGTTACCTGATGAACACTTCGAACAGATAACTCGGAGAACGTATCAACATAAACCAAAATCACATTTGCGAACGCCGTTGGCTTCAAAAAGCACGTGTATATCCCAAATGAAATTGAATTGATTATAAATTCAATTTGATTTTATCACTGCATTATGAATATAAATAGCATTGGGTATATTTAATGAATTAGGTTTACACACACCCCAAAAAAGTGCTTTCAATGAACATCTAGTGTTTCTTCTTTTGTTACCTCTGATCAACACAGATTGCATATCCTCTCTAAAATTTTCTGACATCTCCACAAAAAAAATATCTGGGTGAGCCATCGTTTGACACGTTCCTTCACATCAGTAGTTTATTAGATAAATGAAATCAACAAACAAATACGATTATATGCAATTCCATTAAATATGGTCGAAAGTAGATTATTGAAATTATTGATCGATCAACACATTTGTTGTCATTCAGAAGAATCATACTTGCAGCTGATGCGTATTCACCGTTTCATTTTCCAAGCTGCATTCATTGCCATCGTTATTGAGAAACGAAGAGAAAAGTCAATTCAGAATAAATAACTGCCATCATCAGAACGAATGGACCAAGTTTTGAGGATACAATAAGCGGCTTTATCATTTCTTTGCTTTAGAAAACCGGTCGCTTCTGTGTTGAAAATATCCAAATTATGACGATCAGTTCACATTTTTAGAATCAACGCAGAAATCTGATCAAGAGTTTCTGAAAACATGAATTCCACCAAGACACGATGATAACTGATAGCCTATCAGTGGCCTCGCCAGGATTTTTTCTACGGGGGAAGGACATGCAAAATGTCCTGGTACAAAAATATAGCTGAATTTTTGTGTGGATTTTTCTACATTTATTTTTTTCGCCCTTCTCCCTCCCGCTGTCCTTTTCCCTCTTCTTTTTCGCACTTTCTTCTCCTTTCCCTCCTCTTTTCCATTCTCTTTCCCCTCCTTTTCTCTTTTCTTCCAAAGTTCAAGAGGAGGGAAATGCCCGTGGCCTTTCCCCTTTTGATTACGCCTATACATCCTATCATAACAAACCTTCTCACACCGTAACCATCAACGATGTGGAGCAGCGAATCGGATTTGCTCGAAAACCACATAAATACTTCGACTCATCGAATTCAGTGGATTCCCCCGCATCAGAAAGGTGCATGTATTGTCGACACTGAATACCTCTTTTTTGAAACTAAGCCAAATTTCTAGTGCTATGTCATGTTCGAGTTTGCACTACCACAAAAACATAGAGAGTACCATTTTCAAACAAAATATCTATTCGGCTTTAGTCAGTCGATATTTCTTTGCAGCATCGCAATCAACACATTCTCTACTATGATTGCAGGTTATATGCTGTTGATGGACAACGTCTCTTTTTTGAAATCCAACAAAATTGCTGTTGGCTTACCATGCAGTTGAATGAATTCATTTTACCGTCAAACCGTTTCCCCCCCAGACTTGCTGAGCAGCCCTATATTTCCCCCTATCATAGGATCAAACTGATTCTCTGATATCAGAATAT